CGATTCCGGTCAAGGGCATGTACCTTGGTTGTGGGCATATCCCCAGTGGGGGGTGTGCAAGAGGCAGCTGATCGATGACTCTCTCTCATCGATGTTTCTAACTCTCTATCTCTCTCCCTTCCTCTCTGTATAAAATCAATAAAATATTCTAAAAAAAAAGAAAACCCACAGCAAACATTATCCATAATGTACAATGAGAAAGGCTTTCCCTTTGGAATTGGGCATAAGGTACAGATGATTTCTATTATTACTTGTATTAACCATAATACTGGAAGTCCTGGCTAACAGAGGCAAGAAAAAGAAATAATAAGTGTACTAGTAAGGATCAGATTTGTAGAAACAAAACTGTCATTATAAGTATATTATGCAAATTAATATGTATATTAATAGAGAAAGAGTGCATATATTTCTCCAACGTCATTAGAATTAAAAAGAATTTGGCAAAATTTTAATTTACTTTTATATAGTAATAACAAACAGCTAGAAAGCTCATTTTAAAATGTGTAGATTTAGTAGCCTAAATATATTGTATCAAGTAGTTATAATAAAATCTACCAGAAGGAAAAAATATAAATTTTATCAGAAAACATTTTTAATTAACAGTATATATATACACACACACATATATATATGCCATATTAATGAGATAGAATACACAATATTATACAGATGACAATTCTCTTTTAATCAATCCATAGAATCATTACAATCCTAAAAAAAAATCCAAACAAGATTTAGACATGCTGATTTGGAGATGCAAAGGGTCATGACACTTTGAAGAAGGGAAGAAAATGGGGAGATGAATTTTACTGTCAAGAGTTCATATGGAGCTATGACAGTTGGTGAGGGACAAAGAGAGACTCTTGTGGGCCAATGGCAGAGAAGAGAGAGAACAGAACAGTCTCTGCTTATGTGGCCCCTAGGTAATGAAAGGCAGAGAGAGGGGAAAAAGATGGTTAATCCAGATGAGGACAGTTCAAACTGGGGAAGAGGGGAGAGCTGCCTAAGCCAAGCACGACTGAAATGGGCTGTAAAACCAGGGCAGGCACATGAGAAAGAGAGCGAAACAATACAAGTGTGGTGATTGGGGAGTAGGGTATTCAGGGATGGCTGGAGGTGAAGAGGACATAGAGGGGATAAATGGTGATGGAAAATAAACAGACGAATAAATAGATAAATAAATAAATAAATAAATAAATCTATACAGATAAAAACCCAGTGGCCATAACGCCTTAATGGCCAAAGACAGGCATGGCTGGACAGGGCCACGTGATTTAGTGTTCTGGGCTTCTGGTAAATAAATAAATAAATAGAAAGAAAGTGAAGCAACACAGGCACCAAACTGCAGACAGTGTCAATCTGGAAGAATAACCCAGAGGGTGAGGAAGACATCCCCAAAGCACTTAATATCACTAAATAAAGTGATATTAAAATATCACTAAATAAAACAACTGCACCAATGGGTTTACAGTCAAGTTTGTATAAAGTTAAAAAATAAAATTAGTTCTGTGACCATTAAAAAATAGAGCTTGTAGAGCTATTGAGGGAAATTAAAGCACTCCCTCAAAAAAATACAACCAACTTAAAAACATATCCTATTTAATAAAAAGGTAATATGCAAATTGATCGAACAGTGGAATGACTGGTTGCTATGACATGCACTGACCACCAGGGGGAAGATGCTCAATGCAGGAGCTGACCCCTGGTGGTCAGTCCACTCCCACAGGGGGAGTGCCTGTAAGCCATAAGCCAAGCCCATGGCTGGTGAGTGCAGTGGTGATGGTGGGAGTCTCTCCTGCCTGTGCAGCAGTCCTAAGGAATGCAGGATCCTGAGGGCTCCAGACTGTGAAAGGGTGTAGTCTGGGCTGAGGGACCCCTTCTTCCACCCTCCCAAGGTGCACAATGTTGAGCACTAGGCCTCTAGTTAGATATAACAAAAGACCAAAAAAAACCCTAAAAATTAAATGACTCTTATAGAAGAAAGGTTTGAGACAACAGAAAGTAAAGAGAGAAATATAATATTTATTAGAGACAGATAAAGCTGTGAAGGCTGAAGTTGCACCAATGGAAGAATAGTTTTGTTCCAAAATTATATAAGAATACATTTTTTGAAGATAGTAGAGAAGAAACTTTCACTGAAGTAAAGGTAGAGTTGACTCTGCCACCTTAAGAACATGAGAACTATGGTTGAAGATGGTGTGCACGGAATTCACCAGTAACTTTCAGCATCACTTCTATTTATTCATAACTAGTGGCCCTGCGCATGAATCCGTGTGCCAGTAGCTTTCTGTGGGGCCTGGCTGCTCAGCACCTCCTGCCCAGAGGCTGCCTAAGGCCCAGAGGCCCATCCATGGCTGGGTGCAGAGTGCTTGTCTTGTAGCCATGGTGATGAAGCAAGCATTCCTCCAGTCCGCTCATGCTCTCAGCAGCAAAACCTCCTTTCTTCCCTCTCAGGCTGGGCTGAGAGGACTGGGCACCACCATCTTGTGGCTATGGGTACTGCCATCTTTGTGATGGAGTGACAGTTAATTTGCATATTACCCTTTTATTAGATAGGATAACCAGGGTGTATTTATCTTATAAAAAACAATATTATAAGTATTCAAATTTCAAGCTTTATAAGTAGAAGTCATCATAAACAAAATTAAAGAAAAGGGAAATAAATTTATAACTTTCATAATATTTAACAAACCCTCCCTTATCATCAAAGAAAGGACAATCTCTTCAACTAATAGCATTGGCAATAAATAAGCCAGCAACTCACCTAAGAGACAATTTAAATGACCAATAGACACAAAATACCTCCACCTCCTATGTAATCAGAAAATTCAAATTAACTAAAGTATCTATGAAAATGGGTGTTGGGAGATGATTCATCTCATTCACTATTGCTAGCAGAATATATTGATTCAGTTCCTTAGTAAGGCAGCTTGGCAGAATATGTAAATACATAAGTATTAGTATTCTTTGCCTCAAAAATTTGATTTTTTGATTAGTGACACAAGACAAATTCATATATCTATAATAATAAAAGGGTAATATGCTAATTAGACCAGACATCATTCTGGACATCATTCCAGATGTCCTTCCAGACAAAGCCAGGGTCCGAGGGAAGCCCATGTTCCAGGTGCCAGAAACCTGTGCTGGCAGGGCATCCAGGTGAAGGAAGGCCTACTCTTGCATGAATTTTGTGCATTGGGCTTCTAGTGTATATACATGCAAAAAAACCCAAAAAAACAACATAATTGTTGTTATCACAGCTTGTTGAAATGACCTAAGTATCTGTCAATGGAAGAGAATGCTATAAAAATTATGGCATATTACTGTGGAAAACAGTATGGAGTTTCCTAAAAAAATTAAAAATGGGACTCCCATTTGACCCAGTAACCAGACTTCTTAGGAATATAGCTTAAGAAATAGGAAACACCAATCAGAAAGGACATATGCACCCCTTTTTTCATAGCAGCACAATTTACAATAGCTAAGATTTGGTAACAGCCTAAGTGTCTATCAGCAGATAAGTGGATTAAAAAACTCTGGTGCATCTATACAATGGAATACTATGCTGCTGTAAAAAGAAAGAATTCTTATTACTCAAAATAGCATGGATGGAATTGGAAAGCATTATGCTAAGGGAAATAAGCCAATTGGAGAAAGATAAATATCACATGATTTCACTGATATGTGGAAATAATGAACAACATAAACTGATGAACAAAAATAGCTTCAGAGACAAAGAAGCATCGAACAGACTGTCAAACCTCAGAAGGAAGGCAGGGGAGGGAGGCTGGACATAAGAGATCAACTAAACGACTTGTTGCATACATATAAGCATAACCAATGGACATAGACAGTAGGGGGATAAGGACATGTGTGTAGGTGGCTAGAGAGAGGTTAATGGGGGGAAAAGGAGACATATGTAATACTATATGTAATACTTGAAACAATAAATAATTTTTGAAAATTAAACAAAACATCTTTAAAAAATTTAGGCCATAATGATTCCATGGAGTAGTATGCAGCTTTAAAAAAGAATGGAGGAGATCTGCATGTTCATTCATGTGAAAAAATCTTTAATATTTTCACTACTAAAATAACAATGCAAAATAGCATATATAATATAATCTTCTTTGTTAAAAACAAAACACAAATTATGTATTTAGGAAAATCAGCTATATGTGTAAACACAGAAAAAGAAACGTGGAATTCTGTGTCCACAACACTCAAAAGACCGGGACTGACAGCTTTAGGCAGGAGGCAAGTGAAGGGGACTTTCCCCTAAACACACAGGTCATTTGAAATTTTACGAGCAGGAATGTAAAATGTATCTATTTTCTATTAAAAAAGGTTAAACATATTAAGTAATGTTATTTCTGACCCTTACTAGAGAAAAAGAGAATTTATGGCCTTTGCCTTGTAAGGTATAACCCATTACAGAGCAGAAATTGAGAGTACAGAGGAAAATACTCAGCCTGCACTAGCCTTTCATGTCTTGGCCCTTTCTTTTTCTTTTACTCCCTTAGCTCAAGATCTCTGAAGGGAGAGTCCAGAGCCCCAGCCAGAGATGGGAATAAGCTTGGCACTGACCTGTCCTTAGCTCAGGTATGAGACCAAAGCACCCAGAATTTTATATTTTCTAAAGTACTCTTTTTGAAAAAAACCTGAAGGCAGAGGGGTTTCAAGGGAAACGAGAAGGTTCAGAGGTCATGGGGAAATAACAAATTGCATCAGAAAGGACAGCCGAGTCCAGATGGCCTATAGTTGAGCAGTAGCTGTAAGACAGAGTCCTGTGGGTTGTGGCAGCTGCACTCACACCAGCACCTGTCCCTCTGCAGTTTAAAGATCTGATTCTTCACTAGTATTCCTGCATTTCATTACATTTCACACAAGTAGTCTTGTAAAGCAGGATGAGGGCAAGGTTTAGACGAGTGTCTAATGACACACGCTAAAGCAGCAGCACAACCTGAGAGAAAGTTAAAGGAAGGGAGACAGAGACTGACCTGGTGCTGAGGTCTGTGCTCTCACTGGCCATCGTCTTGCCGTGGGCCCTTTCTGGGCCTGGAGCCCTTCTGTGCCCCCAGCCTGCGTCCAGTGTGGCTGCCCAGCTCTGAGCAGGAAGTGTGCACAATCAATCACCCGGGGAGAGCTCCTCCCAAATGGGGAAATTAGAAGTGAAAGTAACTTTCTGAGTGTTTTCAGACAAGCCTCACTCCTTCTGCAGCTCCACAGTAGTTCTCAGCCATCAGGACATGTGGCAGCAGGAATGGAGGACAAAAAGAACAGTCTGGACTAGGAGGCAAGGGGAGGAAGCCCAAGGGGAGGGGGAGGGCCAGCCCCCGGGAGTTTTCTATAATAGTTTGAGCAAGGACTCTAAGAACATGAAAATAGCCTAGCTACGGCTCCTGGAAACCTGGAGAGCAGGAAAGGCAGCCACTGAAAAGGGACAAGGGGCAGATAAAACAACCAGGGGATGGGCTTCCTTAGCTTCAGCAGGAGCAGCTTCCATTCAGACCACACTAGTGGACTGAGTCTCTGCTCTGGGAGACTCTGTGGGGACAGGGTTTGCTTTGGAGAGGAGACAGAGTCCCGGACCCGAGAATTTAGGGGCAGGAGGAATCGGAGACAACAGCATCAGTAGCCACTGGCCCAGAGGATGAAGACCTGGCACCTCTGTGGATGCAGAAATGGAGAGGAGGAATCCCTGGGACCCAAGTGGGAGCACTCAGGCCCCACACTAATGTCCCCTTCTGGGAAGTGGCCCAGCAATCAGCAGGACTCCTTGCTCCCCTGCCCTCCCTTCTTCCTGTGGAGACTCTGAGGCTGGGAATTCTACGAAGGTGGGTCTGCTCCTTGGTGCTTCTCCCTGGGCTCATCCTGCTGGAGGGGGTCAGGGCTCTGTGCTCCTCTGAGCTCCAGTGCACCAAGACAGCGGTCTGGGGTGTGGGGCATGTGTGTGGTTGATTGGAGCAGCCTTTGGGCCTTGTGAATAAGCCCAGTTATGGGGTTCAGATTGAGGAATTATTTTTTGACATACATCCAAACCATGTCCCCAGCTTTTATGAGGAAGAAAGCTGGTTTTTTTCCCTCCTCATCTACATCACTCTTTTGCCTGTTAGTTGGTTTGTAATTCAGGTGGAAAGACATGCATTTTGGGGTAGTGGGGGTGGGCATGAACACCTTGAAAGGAGTCAAGCACATGGGTATATGTCTTGCTCCTTGAGTTCTTGTCCACTTGTGCCATAGATGGGTAAAGAGTTGGGGAGTCATAGCCCTGGCAATTGCATGGTTGTATAGACTTGATGGCACTTGATGGCAATATTTGAGCTTTTAGGGACTGGGATTCTATGGAGCCCCCTTAGTTGAATCTTAGGGACTGGGTTTAGTGAGGGAACAGCTGTGGACTCCTGAGTCTCTGTACAAAGCTGGTAAGAATCAAGATGGGGAGAGTGGCCTTTTCTAGGAACTCCTCAGCACTGCTACCCACATAGGCCTTTGATACTGCCGGTGACCCAGCAGCCACTACAGCTATGATCCTTTTGCCCCACCCACAAACCTGTGGACCCTGGGACCTCCATTTCCAAATGGGCACTGCTCCAGCAGAAGTAAATGCAACTTTCCCCTTCCCCAGTGGCAGAACTCCAGATACCACATTTGTGTGTTTCCAGTGCCCAGGCATCCAGGACACACCACTCCATAGGCAGTGCCTGGGAGGCACTGGGAGCCCTTGCTGGGTGTGATTCTGTACAGACAAAGGTGTGTTGCCCCGCAGTAGAAATTCTGAATTCCCTCTTCCTGAATAACTGCCCACAGACACTCCAGCTGTTTAACTTCAAAGCCAGGGCCCCTCAGAGTGCCTCAGAGCTCTGCACTGGCAAATGCACCACAGCAGTCACACATTTCCAATGGGCAAGCACCCTGAACCCATCTATCCACAGGGCGATAGTGGGAGCTGCTGTGAGTCCTTGCTGGGTGTTATCTTAGACAAAGAGGGACACACTCCTCCTGGCAATAGAAATTATGATTCCACTCACCTGGACACCTACCAACAACACTCCAGCTGTGTAACTTTAGCACCAGGGCCCTTCAGAGATCTGCTCTGGAAAATGCACCGCCCAATCACACATTTTCTACAGGCAGGAACCCTGAGCCCATCTATTCACAGGGTGCTCTGGGGAGCTGCTGTGAGCCCCTTCTGGGTGTGATTCTGTACAGACAAGGGTGTGCAAGCACTGCAGTAGAAATTCTGAATTCCCTCTTCCTGAATAACTGCCCCCACACACCCCAGCTGCATAACTTCAATGCCAGGGCCCCTCAGAGTGCACCAGAGCTATGTGCCAGCAAACATACCACCACAGCCATACATTTCCAACAGGCAGGCACCCTTAGCCCATCTATTCACAGGGTGCTCGTGGGAGCTGCTGTGCGACTTTGCTGGGTGTGATCTTGGACAAACAGAGACACACTCCCCAAAGCAGTAGAAATTCTAATTTCACTCCTCCTGGATACCTGCTCACATTTGCCTCAATTATGAAGCTTCAGTGCCATGGCACTTCAAGTGCTTCAATGCCCCTTGCTGGCAAATGCACCACTGGTGCCCTTGTGAGCCACCACTGGGAGTGTATGCATATCCACCACAAGTGCAGCAGCAAAAGCTGAGTCTGTCCACCCCATAACTATAGAACTCTGGACACCACAGTCACGCCTTTCAAGAGCACAGGTCTTCTGAGCCTCATCACTCCAACAGACAGTTCCTGGGTGCCATTGTGAGTCCCCACTGGGCAAACACATTTTCAATCAAGGCCACAAGATAGCAAAAATTGGGTCATCCCTCCTTCATGGCTACTGACTTCTAGACAACATGGTTGTACATTTCCAGCTCGTAGTCCTACATCAAGAGAGCTCAAATGCTCAAGTAGGGAGCTACACTAGATTACCAAGCCCAGGAGACCTGAGAGATTATACCAGTAACAGCTTCCCAAAAAGAACGTGGTTAGCAAAGCAATGGGACCTACATTAAAACCTTACAGCAAAACGTGGGGAAGACAAAAAAGCAATCCCTAAAGGAAAGAAAAAGAGGAATCACCAGAAAGGGAGCTAAATTAAATTGAGGCTAGCAACATATCAGAGAAAGAATTCAGAGTAATGGTTATAAGGATGCTTAAACAGCTGGATGAGAAATACATACAACTCAATGACAAGTACACACAACTCAATGAGAATTATAAGGAACTGAATGAGAACATCACCAACATGAAAAGGAACCAAGAAAGGCATAGCTGTAATAAAGAACAAAACAGAAGGCTTAAAAAGTAGACTAAAAGAGGCTGAGGACCACATCAGCTAATTAGAAGACAAGGTAGGAAAAAACATAAACACAGCAGCAACTGGAAAGAAGACTTAGAATACTTAAAATGCAAGAGGAGAGCCTAAGCGAGCTTTGGGACAACACAAAATGAAACATTTTCATAATAGGGGTACCAGAAAGAGAGGAAGAGAAGCAAGGAATAGAAAAAGTGTTTGAAGAAATAATGACAAAAAACTTCCCTGATATTGGCAAGAAAAAACTATGCAAGTCCAAGAAGTACACAGAGTCCCAGACAAGATGAACCTCAAAAGACCAACACCAAGACATAATTAAATAGACAAACACCAATGACAAAGTCAAAATCTTAGAGGTTGCCAGAGAGAGACAGAAAGTTACCTACAAGGGATCTCCTATTAAACTATCACCTGATTTCTCAACAGAAACATACCAGGTCAGAAGGGAATGAAATAAAATATACAAAATGATGCAAAGCAAGGGACTGAACCCAAGAATAGTATACCCAGCAATGCTATCATTCAAAATTAAAGGTGGAATCAGGAGCTTCACAGACAAAAAAGGGCTAAGAGAGTTTATTACTACCAAGCCAGCAATGCAGAAAATGCTAATAGAACTGCTATAAAAAGAGAAAAACAAAAACAAAAACAGAAAGGCAAGAAGAAATATAAATAGTAAGTACAAAAATGACAATAAGTACTTATCAATAATAGCTTTAAACATAAATGGATTAAATGCACCAATCAAAAAACACAGGGTAGTTGAATGGATAAGAAAAGTTGACCCATATATTTGTTTTCTGCAAGAGACCCACTCAGAACAAAGTATTCACACAGACTGAGAGTGAAGGGATGGAAAAAATTTTATAGGCAAATGGAAAGGAGAAAATAGCTGGAGTTGTGATATTTATAATCTGATAAAAAAGATCTCAAAGTAAAGGCCATAACAAGAGATAATGAAGGCCACTACATAATACTAAAGGGAGCTATTCAACAAAAAGATATAACTCTGGTAAACATATATCCACTCAATATAGGAGCACCCAAATACATAAAACAACTTCTGGACAATATCGAGGGAGAGATCAATACAATACAGTCATAGTAGGGGACTTTAATACTCCACTGACACCACTGGACAAATCCTCTAAACAAAAAAGCAGTAAAGAAAAAGCAATCCTAAATGATTCACTAGATCAGATGGAGTTAATTGATATCTTCAGAACATTTTCCCCCAAAACTACAGAATATACATTTTTCTCCAGTGCACATGGAACATTTTCAAAGATAAACCACATATTAGGACACAGGCAAAGTTTCTTCAAATTCAAGAAGATAGAAATCATAACAAGCATCTTCTCAGACCATAATGGCATAAAACTAGAAATCAACTGCACTAAAAACAATTAAAAAAAATCAATCTCCTAGAGGCTAAATAGCATGCTATTAAACAATAACTGGGTTACCAAAGAGATCAAATAAGAAATTAAAAGCATTCTGAAAACAAATGACAATGAAAACACAACAATCCAAAACCTATGGGACACAATAAAAGCAGTCCTGAGAGGGAGGGAAGTTGATAGCTCTATATGCCTACCTCAAAAAACAAGAAAAAATGGTAATAAATTATCTAACCTTGCAACTTAAAGAACTAGGAAGAAAAGCTCACAGTAACAAGAAGGAAGGAGATAATAAAGACCAGACCAGAAATAAATGACAGAGAGACTAAAAAATCAGTACATTAAGATCAATGAAACCAAGAGCTGGTTCTTTGAAAGGAGAGAGAAGATTGATGAACCTCTAGCCAGGCTCACCAAGAAACAGAGAGGTGAACAAAATGAACAAAATCAGAAATGAAAGAGG